CCATTGGCAGAAATGTTTGACTTAATTTGAGTCAAATTTTTAGACTAACAAGACAAATAATCTTACACATTCTGAAAACAAGATTATTATTCTTACGCAATCAGTTCTTGTTTAGTAAATCAGTCTCGAAACAAGATCAAAAATATTTTTTTGCCTGGATATACGATTTTAAAACTTGGTTAGGTGGACATTTTTTGCAGTGTAACTTACAGTGAGATTTAGCCGTGCCTTTTTATGGGAAAAGCATTTGGATGGGTGACAGGTTTGAAGAAATATCTGAACCCTTATTTGTTACAGTTAAGAAATCTGATGGTTTTATGATTCTTCTGAAACAAARCATTGGCATGATCCCCATGTCTGCTTCGAGAGAAGGGTTACTGCGGGCCACCAGAAAGTTGTTTTGAATGTTCCCCTTTTTTTCACATGATGATGCACATCTTTTATTGTTAATGTCTTCTACAAGTTGGCAAAAGGCCCATTTAGCAGGGATGACTGGAGGCTTTGATGGCATGAAAATGATGGAAAACATGTGCTCCTCTTCTCACAGGTGTCACTCCTCAACCCAGTTTAAAATGTGTGGGAAGCTTRGGATGACATGTAATCTATAGGGCAGCTCTGAGCACCATTAAAACATCAGTCATTTGAAAGAAATATTCTAGAGATCCCACATGTTGTGTAGTACAGTTAGTACTTTAAAGCTGTTCTGAACATACTGTACATACAGCAGTTTCCAGATGCAGGTCACGGATTACTGGATGATTTATTTTGGTTGTACTGAGAAAATAAAAAATGTTTCTTAGTGACGACTTCTTTGCAAGATTTTAGTCATTGTTTGACAATGTAGTTCATCCTGGGAAAATGCATAATTTTGACCTCAAAATTAAAGCAAATAAAAGTTTTATGTCTCAAATGTACACAATATTTTGTTTTTCTTTGAAATACAAAGTTTTTGTGTTTTTGTTTTTGTTGTTGTTTTTCACTAAAGGTGCTCAGTTGAAAATTGCTACTGTTGCATAATGGGTCACAAAGCAACTTCCATGCACTGTGTCTTAGGATGTGTCTGCTTCATGCTTCTCCTCTGGACCAGCACAGCTCAGGATGAAGACTTAAGAAGTAAGAGAGTTACAGTTTCGGTTTTTATGACACTTCTTTCATTTTCGAAAACCATAGGTTTAAAGTAGATTACATGAGAAAAAAAACCAAGTAAAACTAAAAATATCGTAACAGAAAATGACATTGGTAGAAATTAATTTCACTATAAGAACAGTCCTTAAGTAAAAGTCATAAAACTGCTCACAACAACCTGGAAAGTAAAAGCACTTGTACACACACTCTAAAAAATGAAGTGTTGAATTTACTTAACCAATCATGTCAGCTTCCATAAAGTGAAGCTGAGTACATTTCTTTACATTTGCTCAATTCGATTCAGTGGAACTAGTTGAACGTAACAAAATAAAAGTAAAAGTTACATACTTAGTAAAATTACAGATTCTCAAAAAATTACTTAAATACTTTAACAAAGTAAATGTTCTTTGTTACCAAACATATCTGTCATAAACACGAGTGGCACTGATTTTTTTTAGATCCTGCAAATTCATTTTAAATCAACTTGTGCAAAGTTTGAATGAATTGGTGTTTCACTGTTTTCTGTTTCCTGTCAGGTTGCAGGACTGCGCCGTGCGACTTGGTTTTTATCCTAGACGGCTCATGGAGCGTTGAAGATGTCAACTTTGAATTGGTGAAGCGATGGCTTGTCAACATAACGACCAGCTTCAACATTGGACAGAAGTTTACTCAGGTTGGAGTGGTCCAGTATAGCGACGATCCCATTTTAGAAATACCTCTGGGGAAGCACTACACAAACAAAGACCTCATCAAAGCCATGGAGTCCATTGAGTACATGGGAGGAAACACAAGGACCGGTACAGCCATTAAGTTTGCCACAGACAAACTCTTTGGGTTTTCTGAACGAGGCCCATCAGGTGTTTCTAGAATTGCTGTTGTCCTCACTGATGGGAAGTCTCAAGACGAGGTCCTAAAAGCAGCCGAGGCAGCGAGGAAAAGAGGCGTCATCTTGTTTGCGATCGGTGTTGGGCCAGAGACAGAAGAAGCCCAGRTAAGGGACATTGCAAACAAACCATCTACAACTTACGTCTTTTCTGTCGAGGACTACAAAGCTATTTCAAGAATTATACAGGTCATTCGACAGAAACTATGTGAAGGTAAGCAACTTCTGTTCAACTGGGTCACATTTATTTTTTTAAATTTGAAAATGATCTGGTATATTTTTGTGCTTGTGTGTTACAGAGACTGTTTGCCCAGTTAGAATTCCTATAGATTCTCGTGATGAAAAGGGCTTTGATATTCTTCTAAGTTTAAATTTGGCTAAAAAAGCCAAGAAAACAAAAGGAGCTTATTTGGGCACAAAGGCATTTGAAGTGACGTCTCTGGTTGACTTGAGCGAGGCTACAAGGTAATCATACTTTTCTTTTTAATTGTGTTTTTATAGTGTTTTCGTGTTAACTACTTTTAGGGGGAATTGTTTTGCTCCTCTAGAATAGTTTGTGTCTTGTTTAAAAAACAGAAGTTCATGTTATTTTACAAACCAGATCATGTCATAAACTACCATTCAGTTTATGAGGTCCCGCAAGGTTCTGTTTTGGGGCCCATCCTGTTCCTGATCTATGTACGTATCTATAGACATTTACAGCATGTGTTTGCATTTTTTTTGACTAATCATTGTCATTTTTTCCAATCATCTGGTTAGAAACTGCTTTTTATGTAAGTGTCAAAACATCCATTAAAATAATCATCCTTAGCTGATGCAAAACATTGCAGCAAGGCTTCTAACTTCAACAAATTAAAGCACAAACACACAGCTCCTGTTTAATTGTCTCCTCACTGGTTACTTTTAAAATTCATATTGAATTTATTTTGAAAATCTTGGTCTTACCATTCAGGTGGACCAAAAATAAGACAATACCAGAGGTTTTTAACTCAATCTGAAACTCAGGCAGATTGAAGCTGAAATTACTTTTCATTGTTTTCGTATTATGTTGACCTTTTTAATTTGTATCATTATTTTTTCATTTATTTGTAAAGTTTTTTCACCCATTTTTCTGTTTGATCAACCAGGAGACTTTTCCCTGACGGTCTGCCTCCATCATATGTTTTTGTCGCCACGCTGAGGTATAAAGGATCAGTGACTGTTGAGGAATGGGACCTGTGGAGGATACAGACCCGTGATGGGAAGCCACAGATGGCGGTGACACTAAACGGTCTGGATAGTACCATCACGTTCACTACAACCAGCATGGCACCGAGTGAAATACAAAAAGTCAAGTTTTCACGACAGACGACAAGAGTAAGTTTGGACTTTCGCTTCATTTGACATGTTCACCTGTTCATCATGAATTCCACTGAGTAATGACTCAATTCTTTTGAAGTAGTGCTTAAAATTTCAACCATATTGTTTTCATCTATAAAGAACAGAAAATATAAAACATAATTAAAGATATMTGTATACAAGTTACACATAAAGGCAGAACATTCTGTAAACTTTTTTGTGTTTTAAGAATTTACAATTTCAGTGTATTTAAGGTTGTGATAGCTGTAGACTATACTTGTATACAGAAACTTCAATGAGCTTGAAAAAATGGGCAAGGGGGGAGTATGAGGAGATTGATTTCATGAAATTTTATTTTGATGTTAAGACAGGTGTGAGTTGTCATTTGCTTTAGCTAAAATCAGCTAAAATATGTTGTTTATGCACTCAAGGCCTTATAGGCTTGTTTCCAAGCATAAGGATAACATTTATATGTGTAACATGTAACTGATAATTGGCAAATAATTATGAAATTGTGGTGCATCAACAACTGCTTATTAATATCCACCACAATTTTTTTTCATAGGTAAACACAAATGTTTCTTGAAAGCCACGTACAAACCAGATTAATGGTGTATATMCAGTAAGGTCTGATCCTGTCACGTTTATCTCAGATTCAGGTCAGAAAAGTCAAACATTTGGCAAGAAACCTGCATTCCAAACTGGGATTGTAGTGTTCTTWAAAATGGGGATATTTGCAAGCCCAWGTGGTTCAAACAGATGATGTGCATTGAGACCAAGACTTCAACTGAAGTTTTTAATTTAAAACTTTCATAATTCCACCTCCTGTAGCCATTAGACTTTAACTTACACAACTGGTAACCTCTTAGCATAAAAAAGAACAAATTACACTGTTGAATGTTTCAAATAAGGTGCATCAAATGTTTTAGGTGAAAACAAAAACATGATTTTATCTCTCAGTATTTATTCTTAAGCCAGAGAACACAAGTTGTTTCAGGACAAGTCCTCTGTATCTCTTGAGGCCCATTTTTTTTTTTTTTTGCATTGGTGGGAAACAAATCTTGCATGCCTCCACATTAGTGATGTGTGGCTTCAGTAATGCTCTGCATGACCACAAGATCAGCAACCCATGGCCGCAGAGTAATCAAGGGAGGAAATGTAGMTCTCCAGTTTGTTGTTCGGCCACAACACAATAACGACTTACCGGAGGATACTATACGGTTTCACTGTTGCAGTGAATAAAAACACAACTTTTTCATGTGCTGATAAACACATGTTTCTGAGAGATAAAACATACAAATAACATCCAGACATTTGGCAAAATTTTCCAATTCATGAAGCTGGATCTGAGGAGGCACTGGAGACCAGTTTTTTGCAGGTGCATTCAAAATACCAGAACAGCATCCTCCTTCTTTCTTGCATTGTTTCCATTGTTGAGGCAGCTGTTAGCTATTTACTGGTGGTCATGAGCTATTTACTGGTAGTCATGCTGTCTCTCAGGTTCTTCTGGCTCCAGTTAAATGAGGCTTTCCAAGCAGCCTGTGTACTTATTTACAGTTTGACAAATGTACTTTGAGAAGCTAAAGATTCTTCTAAATTTCTCTTTTGCCCACATCTGAAAAAATATATTCCTATCACCCAGTTGTGTCAAAATTGTTTTCTATTCCAGAAGACAGTCTATGGGAAATAAAATGAAACACTAAAGTCTTTTTAATGTTTAAATTTGAAATTGTGGCAACAGTATGGCTGCTTCTGGTTTGAGTTACTGAGTTCCATTAGTTCTATTTTAGCATTACAAAGCCGTGCAATGTCATCTAGTTTCCATCAAACCAGTGTGCCAATATGCTAATGACAATAGTGGGGTTTACATCAACATTTTTTTTAAGCATTGCATTAGAAAAGGTTGATGGAAATGAAAAAAATTCAAAAAACTTACTCAGTTTTGCTAAAAGGTTTTTACACTTTCTTGAGATGGTTTGTGGAATTTTGTAAGAGTTATTGTGCAAAATGGGAGATGGAGACATAATTTCTGAATAAGTTCTTACGTAGCCAACATTTACCTCACGATTGATCAGCTGTTTCCACTTTCAGCTTCTACTCTGATATTCCCATAAGATTTGCATTTCTTTCTCTACATCTCCAGACAGCATCTAACATCGCCAAAATTAGCTGACATGACAGAACAATTACAACTTMCCTGATAGCAACACATTCCTGAAAACTTCTCTCCATTGACCTGATATGTGTGGTCCCTGTTAGTTTACAACCTCTACTTCCTGTTTATTATAGCCTGCCTAATGTCTGTCTGACAAAATTACGTTTTGTGCAGCCTGGTTAATTCATTCCAAACCAATAGATGCAAACATGCCTAATCTGCATTTCTAATTATTTTTTCATTTTTTGCGACATTCCAAAATTTTGCTTAAAATTCACATTACAGTTGGATGGAAACATGGTTAATGTTTTTATTTGTTTTCTCTTGTATAGAAGCTATTTGATGAAAAATGGCACCAGCTGCGACTATTGGTTGCAGAAGAGGATGTGACGCTTTACGTCGACGATCTGGAGATTGAAACGTTACCGCTGCAGCCGTCTGTCGGAATTTTTATCAACGGAAAAACCCAAGTGGGGAAATACGTTAATAAAGAAACAACAGTTCCAGTGAGTATGACAGGATTATCACTATCAGTGACTGTTTTTTTATTACCTGTGTCATTACAAAATGAAAATATATGTTTTCAATGAAATAAAGCTGGGAATTGAAAATTTAGAATCACAGTAATGTTTTTTTTAATATAGAAACATACATTGTATGACTTTTATCGTATTATCATTAGACATGATTCAACACTTTATTTACTGAAGTACCCATATTTTCGATAGAAACAATTCTGGAGCATAAAGTTCTAGTATTGTGGTATCAATATTTCAGTATTGATCTGCACATCACTACAATATATAGGTGTGATAAGTTTAAAATATGCCACCTGCAAAATGAACTGTACAACATTTGCAATAATAAATAATATATATWTTATCTGGTCAAAAACGTTGCCACCTGGATTTAACTCAGGTCTCTGATGTCTCTGATGTAGGTTCAACAACAGTCTGTGCTCAAAGAATGAGGTCAGCTGACCTGAATATACTGAATGACCAGGTTAATGCATTAATGATTTTTTTCCCCCGATGGTGTATTTCAAAATGACAATGCCAGGATTCATTGGGCTGGACTTGTGAAAGAGTGGTTCAGGGAGCATGAGACATTATTTTCTCAGCTCCACAGAGCCCAGTGAGAATCTTTGGGATYTGCTGGAGAYCATTTTGTGCAGCGATCAGACTCTACCATCATCAATGCAAGATCTTGGTGAAAAATTAATGCAACACTGGATGGAAATAAATCTCGTGACATTGCACAAGTTTATTGAAACAATGCCACAATGAATGGATGCTGTATCAATTCAATTCAGTTCAAATTCAAAAATACTTTATTGATCCCAGAGGGAAATTTGYTTAAAAAATTGTAGCGGTCTGGGCTGCCCCTACTGCTGGTTTYTCTGGGGGCCCGCTGTTACTCGGCCCCCCGGTGGGGTGTGTGGCTGGCTGCCYGCGTGCTGGGGGTTCCRGGGGTCTGGGGCTGGGCGCTGGGGTGTGTGTTGGCCTGGCCTGGTGACTGCCTGTTGGGGCTCGGGGCCTCTGGGCCTGTCGGACTTTGGCCTGGAGGGGGGGTGCGCCCTGGGGGCCCGGACCTCTGTGCCCTTTCCTGGATCTACTTTGGTATGGTGGGTGCCAGTGGGGCCCATGAGTTTGTCGCTGCTGGCCCCGGGTGCTGTGCGTGTGGTCACTGGGGGGACTCTCCCAGTTCTCCCCTATGGTCTGATCTGGGGGGTGGGTGGGCGGATCTTCCCGTGCGGGTGCCCCTTGGGGCTCTGCGCTCGGTATTCCTCTRGGGCCCTTGGGCTCTGGTCTTCCCTATGTCTGCCTTGTGTCTTGGGGGTTMGGTCTCGGTCCTCCACAGTCACTATTAAATATTCAGAAGAAAAGAAAAGAAGAAAAGAAGATAAACAAAGAAGAAAAAAGAAAGAGAGAGAGAAAGAAAAAAAAGAAGAAAATAAAATTGTATCAAAGCTATATACATCTTTGGTATCAAAGCTAAAAGCAGTCCAACAAAATATGAGAGTGTGTGACCTTTTATTTTAGTGGTTACTTTTTTTGACCAGGCAGTGTATGTCTCACAAAACAATTTTTTAAACCTAAGTTTTACTTTTTTTTCTGGCCAAATCATATTTTAAATATGATAAATYACACAACCTTTAGATCAACACAAAACAAACCTAATAAATATCAGCTGATCTTAGCTCCCATTCATGCAGTTGTACAAATGTTTTTGAAAGAAGAAAACAAATCTTTATTATACCTGGGAGAAACTTTTTCTGCTCACATGAGGACTAAAGTACAACAGTCCATAAGGTGGTCTGGACTTATTTCCAAGCCATCATAAACAAATCTAAATCATGGAAGAACAGCGTAATGTTTCTGGTTCAAAACACTGGGGGAGGTCTGGCAACATGCAGATTTTCAATGCCCAGTTGCCCAGGGGCATTTACCTTTCATTTAGCAGTCATGGTAATTTCAATTCATTAGAAGCAAAACACGAATAAAACTGAACCTGAGGTTGCACAATCACTCCCATGTTAGAACCAGTTGGTTTTGTATTTTTGGTTTAGAGCTCTCAGCTGTAAAAGTTATATTTCCAACACTGATCTCTCTCTTTATTTTACCATTTCAGTTTGAAATTCAGAAACTTCGCATTTACTGTGACCCTGAGCAGAACAACCGAGAGACTGCTTGTGAAATACCTGGAGTTGTAAGTAGAAATGTGCTTGTTCTGCAAGGTTCCATTATGAAAACCAATATTTTGGCTTGCGTTTCACCTTGTGGAACTTCCTGTGTTACAACTCCAAGATGCTCCTTCTGAAAGTGCAGCAAAGCAATTTTTTCACATGTTAAATCTACACTGTTTGTCCTATTTTCTTGCTTTGTATTTTATTAATATTAAGTACTATTTGTTTTTGGTTTTTTTTGTTTGTTTTGGTAGCATTTTAAAGGTGTAAACTCTCAAATTTGAAGTCACATCTGTAAAGAATAAAACTGTTGGAGAACGACACGTGGCTCTGCATCAAACATGCATTGAATATGTACTGTATGTTTCTGCCTGCTGGATGTGACTTTGTTTGTAAAGCCTGGCTTGTGTTAGATTGGCTCCAAAATCGCTATAACCACAAAACCAGTGCCAAATTATGGTCTGTYTTATGAAGCTGGTGAAGAGAGATATCAAAAGAGACAAGAGCACAAATGCTCAAATGCTTGCCAGTAATTAATGCTTTTTTTGTTTTTGTTCTTTCTAAATTTAGTCAGCAAGTCCTCTTTTAAATTTAGATTTTAATAAAAGGTTCAATAGTTAAGTCTTTCATGCCATGCACATCCAAACTGTTTTAATATTTGAACCATGAAGAATACTACAGCATATGGAAGGTATGTGGGCCTAATGAGATGTTTGCTTATTTGTTATAGTGCTCCAACAGTCCTTATTACGTTGAACCAACACAAGAACCTTGTGTTTGTCCTGCTGGACCCCCTGGAGCTCCGGGAATAAAAGTTAGTTCTTTAATATTCTTTGTTTGGTGTCATGTTTTTCTCCTCCTCTTCTTCTTTTTCCACAAGCATGCACTAAGCCAGTGATACATTAATATTAGGCTACAAAACTGTTTTCACACATATATCAGACARGGACAACTTCTGGCCAGATTATTTGTGTCTGACGGCTTTTTCTTTTTCTCCAAACTTAGCCAGATTTATGAGTTTAGATAAAAGAGAAAACACAAAATTTCGATTGTATGTGTCGACTTTGGAAAGAAGAACATTCGGAAACAGATTAAACGCTCTTATTCTTGCAACACAGCCTTTATGAAAAACATGCAAAATCACCAAAAGATGTCTGAGTGCAGCCAATAATCATACAATGAGCACTTGAGGGTGTACTCTTCAAGTGTTTCAAAATAAACTAACATTATTATAGCCCCGAAACAAAGATTTTCCTTMTGTGAATAGCAGAACATTGGTTTTTGGGAAATCTCAGTGGTTCAGTCTGTTGGAAATACACTCAGAGATGCACTGCTGGAAACCAGACAGATATCATATATGAACAATGTGGACATTTATCATAATTAGGCAAACTAAGGCTTGTCAGAATGAATAGAGGTGTTTGTTCTTGTACAATCATGTTCTATTAGTTTGACGCAAACCAGGCCACTGCTTAAGATAAACAATATTATTTGGAATGGAAAATCACTAAGGAGGCAATGAAGCCTTCATGTTTATCATTGCTGATGACAGCAAATCAACCAGCTAACAGCCAGTTCACAAATTCCCCAAGGGACACATCGGTTTAGTGAGAGAGAGAGAGAGAGAGAGAGAGAGAGAGAGAGAGAGAGAGAGAGAGAGAGAGAGAGAAAACGTCCTAATTGAAACCTACTGTACATGGTTTCAAATGTTTTGTTTGTTTTTTTGTTTATAAGGTCACCAGTATTCTTTTACAGCATTTCCTAATGGACCCAAAATGCCGGCAGCGTTGCTGGTTTACAGATGTTCATAAGGCCCCACACAGCACATCTTAKTTCAGATACACACTCAGCAAAGTTTATAGATAAATTAAACCCACCCAGGGGACAACATGTTGCCACAATGAATGCTTTAAATGGGTTCATTGTACTAATTTAAGATGTACAATAATTTAATCACCTTTTTGTCCTTTTTTAAAAGGGAGAACAAGGAAGTGTTGGCATGCCGGGGCAGCCAGGTCCTGCTGGTGCTGATGGTAAGCCTGTGAGTACTATATAAATCATATACAAACATACAGAACATAGTTGTAAGTAGCTGCATTCACAACATTAATAGAGAAAATCTTTACAGGTCAGTTTAACTTTTGAGTCACAGCATTGATTTTAGGGCATGTTTACTGCTGCAAAAAATATCTGGGATTGTTTATCTCTAATTTAAAACATGATGTTTGTGTATTAGTGTTTTTATCCAGGGACCATTAATTTTTTTATTGAACACGATTAACTAGGACAGTGGTTCCCAAACTTTTTATCTTCTGACCCACAAAATATCCATGGCAAAAACTTGTGACCCTAAATATTGCTGGTCTGGGTACACGAAGTTCATTAATAACCCTAAAAACACAGACTTTCTGACAATCTAAATAGCTTGTGCACAAATACTTATTTATACTTATTTTGCATTTTTGTAATAATTATAGTGAAAATATTACATCAGCAATTATTTTATTACCCTTTAAATTGATGTCTGGAGATTATTCAAGGCGCTTCATGACCCATAATTGGGTCAAAAGCCCAACTTTGGGAACCAAAGTGCAGTGGTTCCCAAACTTTTCAGCTTTTGACCCACAAAATAACAGTAGCAGAGACCTGTGCCCCCAACTATTTTTGGATGATAAACATGTGTATCAGGTCAAAAAAACATGGGCATAGTAACAATATTTTATCCTTTTTAAATATAATAACCTCACTCCTTTGTGACAACTAAGGCAAAAATGTAATTAATTCAGAAAATCTTTTCAGGACCCCACCTTGATGTTTCAGGACACCACTTTAGGTCCCAACCCCAACTTTGGGAAACACTGAASTAGGACATCTCTGTTGTTTAATGAGCTTCACCATTATGCAGTTGCTAGTTGGGTCATGGGAGCTTGACTCTCCAGTTTATGTGTTTTGTTGATATGGAGAAAGACTGTGTTCCTTGACGGGGCCAATCTTGCCCTTTTATGACCAAAAGCAAGATGTGTGGCTGCATTCGCAAGTTTGAACTCATTTACTGTGTGGCCTGGACTCTGCCAGGGCTGACCTTTGTCCCAGAAGCTGTTTGAGCTTTTGCCACGACAGGATCTCAAGGCACAACCATGGAGAGGAGCATGTCCAGTTTAAATTCCATCACTGCTTTCTGCAAATGTCGTGGCTCTGTTGGTGTCTTCAGGCCATGACCTTCAATATGTGCCGGGCTGGTTTGCAGTCGAGTGGGAAGCATTGTGATTTTCTGGGATGTAAACCTTCCTAAAGCGAACCAAATGGTCAATTGCTCAATCAAAAGTAGAAACGAAAGGATCTTTGCACAGCCTTGGGCATGGACACTGTTATATAGTTTCAAATGACTTGTGATTACATGTAATATTTGTTAATTCTGTAGGGTATCCCTGGAGTTAGAGGCAGTCCCGGGCTGCCAGGTCCACCAGGAGTAAAGGTAACATAATCATCCACTCATACACAATAATTAGGGGTCCAAGCCCGAGGAAGCAGGGTAACGCAGCTG